GTATGCAAGAATAAGTAAGATAGAATGGCATATCATCCTCCTTGTTATAATTTTTCAATGTAGTGTCATTATTTAAAAAGCCACCCATTCCCACAATAACCCCTTTTCAAACCTAAGCACCAAAATACTATCAAAAGCTAACTGTGGTCTTTAACTCCATGGTACCCCACTGATGAATTAGCCTTCTGCTCCTTAAATGGATCTCTTGGTGCCCTCCACACACTTGCCCATAATTCATTGTAGCCGTGAATAGTGCTATGGGGAGATTACACTGTAGAAATGATTTTGAAGTACCTCAGTGTTTTGAATTTTCGTTTCCATGTCTTTCATTATTTGGATAATTAAGAGCTATCCATAGTTTCAACACTTTTTCTCTTACCTAGTTAGTTTTATGTTTTCATGACAGTAAAAATGAATACAATAATACTTTCATATTAATTTGTTTATTTATTTATTGAGAAAGCAAAACTATACAGTATTTATATGACTTACTTTAATAAATTGATTTAATGTATTGATTTTATAGAACCAGGGTCTCCAAAAATGCCACCTAACCCATAATACTAAGTTAGATTAAGTGTCCTGTATGTTAACTAAAGAATCCTACTTAGCCTTTAAGAGTTATACCTTCTTAAAATTGAAACTTGATTTACTCTAATAAGAAAGTAATTTATCCTAGTAGATCAAACAGTTAATGGCTTCCTAAAGTACTTAAATGGAGTCAGCATGGCATTGTTTTATGAATGGAAATCTGTCTGAAATCTTCTTACTCAAAGTGTGGTACATGAACCAAAGACATTTTCATTACCTGGAAGCTTGTGAGAAATGCAGATTTCCAATCTCCCCACCCCCTACTTAGAGAATCGCAATCTGTATTTTGACCATAAACACAGATGATTCACGGGGACATTAGGTTTAAGAAGCACTGAACTTAAATCTATAATTAACATTATATTTAGTGACATTAAGGAGCTCTGATGGCACAGTGCCTAAGGCATTTGACTGTTAACCAGAAGGTTGATAGTTCAAACCCACCAGCTGCTTCACAGAAGGAAGATGGGGCAATCTACTTCTGTAAAGATTTACCACCTTGGAAACCCAAAAGGGGTCGCTGTGAGTCAGAATCAACTCAATGGTAGTGGTTTGTTTTTTTTTTTTCTTTTTTTCTGGTAGGTGAGATTGGTTTTAAATTGGTGACAGGATAGTAGTTGTGAATTACATTTCACTCTTTTGCTGCAGAAAAGCAAACCCAACAAATACAAATGACTTGTGTAGTCAGAGAATATTAATAGATAAAGGTGTGGAAATTATACTAAATCGTTGTTGTTGTTGTTGTTGTTATGTGCCCTCGAGTCAGACCTGACTCATAGCAACACCTCCTTGGGTTTCTGAGGCAGTATCACTACGGAAGTAGATTGCCCAAACTTCCTTCCAAGGAGTGGCTGCTGGGTGTGAGCCGCCAGCCTTCTGGTTAGCAGTCAAGTGCCTTAAGAAAAATAGAAATTGTATAATAATGTATGTGCTGAAAATACTCTGTAATACATGGTATTTGGGGAAATTAAACAAGGAAAGCATCATGATACATGTGACATAGGAGTGATATTCAACAGCAAGCCAGAAATTAAATTTGATTAATTCAAAACAATAGAGCACTTCAAAATCACTTCTACAGTGTAATCTCACTATAGCACTATTCACGGCTACACTGAATTATGGGGAAGGGGATTGAGGGCATTCAGGGATCCATTTAAGGGGCCTAGAGCATCATGGTCATTGTTCCACTGACGTTTGCTTAAGAGCAGGGCATAGTTGAAGCTTTTGTACCTTTCATGCAATAACTGACACTAGTTGCCAGAAAGATAAAGATAAACTGGAGAATGTTCAGAGATGGGCTAGAAGATTGATTATGGCATAGGAAGAACTGATTTATGAGGAGAGAGAAAAATAATTAAATGGCAGCACTGTGCTATAAAAAGAGGCTTCAAGACATGGATATTTATCTAATGTTTCTCTAGTGCTGTTTTCTGTAGTATCTAGATGAAAGATGCAGAAATTCAAGGGTGTAAGGATGCTACGAAATCTGTTACAGAGCAAAGCTGTATCAACTGGAATTACTCAGTTAAATTAAGAGCAATATCAAAGATTATGTTTCAGAAAATTTCACCTGGTGCATGAGAAATGACCTTGAGTGGGATGACTTTATTTCCAAGAACTTTTGAATGTTCTGTGAGCAAAGAATGGAAAATAATATATTAAATTTTTGAATTATCTCCCCAGGGAAATAATTGGAACCCCATCCCTTGAAACTTCTAAAATTAGGAAGGAGAAAAACTAGGATGTTTCCTGTGGGAACTTTGTCTGATTCTGGCAGAGAGAGACCTGGTGATTGACGAGTTTTTCTTCTTTATTATTGTTGATTATTGCTGATGTTGCCATGTACAAATAAATTATTTTTCTTCAGGTCGGTATCTTATTTAAATAAAAACCACTAGCTTCTAAACAGCTAGAGAGTGTCACTCATCTGTTCTCCATGGCACTGGTAGGCTACTTAGCATCCAGGGACATTCTTTTCATTTCTCTTCACTATGCAATTCATTAAGAAGTACAATTCACTACATATTGGAAGTGAATTTACTTCCTACATTCACTTCACTCAGGAAGCTAAGAAGACAAGCCCAAAATGCACCTTGCATTTTCAAACCATTTATAAATACAGTTATGTGCTGCCTGAGTCCATTCAGGCATCGTCTGACTGCATATATGTCTGTGGTCCCATAACATAAAATAGAGTTCAGAAATTCTGCCTGCAGAAAGAGGGGAAGCAAGAGCAATGGCTTCCCACGTGCCACAGGTATATACATGAGACATGCGATATATCTTGTATATAAGAGACATGAGATACATGTGTTCTGATTGCATTGCCAAGTGTGTAATGGTACAATACATATATAACCTACAATGTGTATGTGTTAATAGTCATAATAAATACCTATGTTAATGGCATATGTATATACTGTGTTATACTTTCTCCCTAAAATGTTTACTGTGTAACAGTGTGTGCTTTGACTCATAGGCAGCAGTATCCAACCTCCTATTACATGTCTCTTGAGTATTATAGCATTATCTCTGTCTAATTTTCTTCGAAAATGTTACTGTGAAGTGCATCATGGATCTCAGATGCAGGAAAACCAATGCTAGAGATATCAGTAGCAAAGAAGTATCAATTTGGGAGTGAAACAAAATGTTACAAACTGGTGAATTATATGGCTCTGGATTTAGGCACGTTGCACTCAACAATCATGATGGCCTGCAAAAATAAAGAAAAGATTCTCCAAACTGTTAAAGGATCAGCCCCACTGAAAGCTACCAAGCTAATGAAAATATGAGAGGGATGTATATCAGATATGGAGAAATTGCTAATGACATGGATTGAGGACCAAACACAGAAGTGAATCCCTCCCAGCATGTTGATCACTGCTAAGGCACAAAGCTGGTTTGAGATGCTTAAAGAAAAAGCAGGACCATATTTACAATATGGTGTTTACATAACATTGAAATTACATAACGTCCTATTTCAGTATGTCCAGAATGCATTGTGGACATCAAGTGATACATAACTGTAGGTAGAAATATTCTGAAATTATCTAGTGTCTGAGGGAGTTTGGAGAGTTTTTGGTTTTTTTTTGTTTTTTTGCCAGGATGAAAAGTGGATCATGTCTGTTACGGAGTAATGGCCATATAGCACCACATTTCCTTCTCCTTTCCTCTGTAGACTTTTTTCTTTTTTTTTTAAATCCAATGATGTATATCAGCTGAACAGGGAGACCAGGGCCCCATTTCCATGTGTCAGAAATCAGGTAGAACACAACAAATTGTTCAGTATTCTAATTCATTATTTTACTTTTTTATGCTAATTTCTTCAGATCCCCATTTATATATTCCAGGAGATCTAGTTTAATGTAGATGTTGTTAAGAATAATTCTTATCAAATAACTTGATTAGGCATATTAGATATACCTCTTTATACTGGTATGTAGGACGGTTTGCAAAACTTAAAGATTAAGTTAAATTACTTCAGGTGCTCCATAAGAAGGATTTTTGTTGCTGTTGTTGTTGTGTGATGGTTTATAAATTGTTGTTTCATTTTGTTATTTATGCCCTATGTGTCTGCTTTTGTAAGAAATTTAATTAGCTAAGAAATGTGTCTTACTGCTTTCCTTCTTGAAAGAGATCTAGAATGGAAATCAAAAAGTTTAGGATGTGTTCTGTTGTATCCAGAATACAATGATAATTTTTTTCTATATCCTGTTTTTGTAAGAAATTACTCTAACAAATTGCCAGTATCTTACATGTGCAAACAACAAATGTTGACAAGAGGGAAACTAATTGAAGGGAAAAAAAAAATGTACAGGTTGTAGTCTTACTTTTTTTTCTCTTGTTTCCTGACTGCTGTAGCTAGCAAAGGGGTGGGAAGAAAGTCTTTTTTCTTTCTAAATCATTCTACTAGTGTCATATTGATTTTCTCTCAAGTACGCCCTGTGGTCTCAGATGATCACATATTTTCTGGTGTTATTTGTATTGAAACTGCACCTTGATTCTGGGTTGACATGTATTACTTGAGTTGTGATGCCACTGCTCCTTGTTGACATGTCATGTTGGTGGTGTGAGCCAAACTTCTTATGCAGGAAACTAAGAGAACAGGCTGTTTCACAGCAGTATTACTGTTCTGTGAAAAGCAATTATTATTCACCCCAAATGATACTCTAAGTCCCCTGTCAGTGTTGCTTAGCATTGTTCCTAATCCCTACAACAATATCTTGATTCCTTTTGTTTCTCTGCTGATGCAGAAAAAAATAATCCTGAGCTGGGTATTCTGAAAGACAAAAATATATATACTATTACATATCTGAAGGAATACATGGTGACTTGCCTATAGACCACTGATTTTGCTCTTTCTTTCTTACTTTTGTATTCTCTCATCTCACCTCCCTCTGTTTCAGCTAGCCGTGAGGTGGTTGGAACACAACTGCCATTACCAGTACATGGATGAGCTCCTGCAGTACATTCGCTTTGGCCTCATGGATGTGGATACTCTCCATACAGTTGCCTTGTCCCACCCCCTGGTCCAAGCAAGTGAGACTGCAACAGCGCTTGTCAATGAGGCCCTGGAATACCACCAGAGCATCTATGCACAGCCCGTCTGGCAGACTGGTAGGACCAAACCACGGTTCCAGTCAGACACTCTATATATCATTGGTGGGAAAAAGCGTGAGATCTGCAAAGTCAAGGAACTTCGGTACTTCAACCCTGTTGATCAAGAGAATGCTCTCATAGCTGCTATTGCCAACTGGAGTGAACTGGCTCCCATGCCTGTGGGAAGGAGCCACCATTGTGTGGCAGTCATGGGAGACTTTTTGTTTGTAGCAGGAGGGGAAGTTGAGCATGCCAGTGGCCGCACGTGTGCTGTGAGGACTGCCTGTCGCTATGACCCTCGCAGTAATTCCTGGGCAGAGATAGCACCCATGAAAAATTGCCGGGAGCATTTCGTGCTGGGTGCCATGGATGAGTACCTCTATGCAGTTGGGGGCAGGAATGAACTGCGCCAGGTTCTGCCGACAGTTGAGCGATATTGTCCCAAGAAGAACAAGTGGACATTTGTGCAATCCTTTGACCGATCCCTTTCATGTCATGCTGGATATGTGGCTGATGGTCTTCTTTGGATATCAGGTAGAACACACCTCATACATTGGATGTATCAAAAAACAATTTTCATTATGACAAATTTAAAAGTCAGGCTTGGTAACGTGGCCATGTGTAATTGAATGATTGAGCTAAGGATATCATTTTAGCTCGTTAGCATTCATTTATTGAGCACCTCTCTATAGAGAGCAATATAATTGGAAGTAATTGACCTTTCTGTGACTTTCTATGAGTGATTAGTGGAGTAAAAATTCAAGATGAAAATTAATAGCCCATGACATCTGTTTTTTTTTACCAAACCATCTATTGTTTAGATTATCAGCTCTTGATTACTCATGGATTATACTGCACTGTTTGTGGTTCATCCAGGTCCTTTGCTTTTTCTTTAACACTAGGCTTTCTGCCTAAGAGCCATTTCATCAAAAACAGGCCAAAGGAAGTAGACGTCTGGTTAATCTGTCCTGCTAGCAGAGCATAGCCATGCTTTGCATTATGGGAAGGGATTTAAGTTTTTGTCTAAAATAAAGTTTTTGTATCATCTGTGAATTGTTACTCATGCTATCCTAATCCTTCATTTCTGTTTACTCTCTCATTCTTACTGATTATTTGGCAGTATGATTTTAGTTATATTTTAGTTTACTTTTTTATCTTTGTTTCTTAAAAAACAGAAAATACAACTTATGATTATAGAAAAAGTAGAGACTAGTATAGTGAACCCCACATACACATAACTGAGCTTCAACAATCATCCACTCATTGCCTTTGTTTCCCATAGGCTCACATACCCGTCATCACCTCAGATTATCTTGAAGCAAATCCTACATACATCATTTCATCTGAATAATTAAATTTGTAAATCTACTAGATAACACAAGGATTCATTTTTTTAAAATATAATCACAATACCATTGTCACATGAAGAAAAAAAATTAGTAATAATTACTTACTATCTTCAAATATGGGAGCTCTGGTGGCATTGGCCTAAGGCATTTGACTGCTAACCATCAGACTGGCAGTTCAAACCCACCAGCCACTCCTCAGAAGGAAGATTGGGCAATCTACTTCCATAAAGATAGCACCTCAGAAACCCAGGGAGGGGTCTCTATGAGTTGGCAGCAACTTAGTGGCAGTGAGTTGTTTTTTTGTTTTTTTTTTAATCTTCAAATATCAAGTCAGTGTTAAAATATATATACTCAATTCTTTCATGATCTTTAACAGGTTGTTCAAATTGGAATTCAAGTGAATTCCATAATTGCTCTATTTACTATGTCTCTTAAATCCCTTTAAGTCTGTACGTTCCTACTTGTCTTTTTTTTTTTTTTTCCTTTGTAATTTTGTTTGTTTGTCTTCTATAGTTTCCTGCATTCCATGGTGTGTTGCTTTGCACTCAGTATTTCCTGAACATTGGTAATTAGATTGGAGGCTTGATCAGATTTAGGTTCAATTTTTTTTTGGTAAGAAACCTTTATAAACCAAAAACCCGCTGCCATCGAGTTGATTCCAACTCATAAAGACTCACATCGAGTTTCCAAGATAGTCAATCTTTATGGAAGTAGATTGCCCCATCTTCCTTCTGTGGAGCAGCTAGTGGATTTGAACTACCAGCCTTCTAGTTAACAGTCACATGCCATAGGCACTGCACCGTGAGAGCTCCTTTAAGAAACCTTTATAGGTGGTGTTATTTTAGCTTTGACCACTAGTTCATCTAAAACCTTCAATAAAACACTTAAAGTCTTTTATTGATATGGTTTGCTCTTTTCACCTCCTTCCCATATTCACAAATGAGTAAAGGCAGATATAATGGGTCCAAACAACTGAGTAAAGGTTATTCCACATTGCACAAGTCAGTGCTAAAATTGGTTGAAACACCTACCTTCTTTGAATTCAAATCATCAAGTGTTTATTGGATATCTGTTGTGTGCTAATCACCATATGACCAAGTCAATAAATGGTAATGATTTTCCATTGATAAATTGAAGATTGAGTGAATATGAATGTCATAAAACCTTTCTGTCTGTCTTTTTGCTTGTATAGAAGAAACTTGTGAAGCATAGGATACCAATACCATGTCCCAGGAATTTCCCAGGGGGTTTGTAATTTCCCTTCAGATGAGTTTGGAGAAACTGAACAATCTGTCAAGGGGTCCCATTACCAGCATGAGTTTTATTAAGAAAAAGAGGGAAAAAACAAAATCAAGAGAAAGGGAGAGAGAGAATTTACAAAGTGATAGCTAAAAGGTAGACACAGGCTAACACAACTCATTAGAAGCTTCTGATCCAGCAGGTGGCCAGGCTGGAATGGATCCAAGAATATCAGCAAAAACCTGGCAATCTTTTGGGAATATTTATACCTGATTGGGGGAGCTGAAGGAGCTCTGGTGGCGTAGTGCCTACGGCATTTGACTGCTAACCAGAAGGCTGGCAGTTCAAACCCACCAGCCACTCCTTGGAAGGAAGGTTGAGTGATCTACTTCTGTAGTGATACTGCTTCGGAAACCCAAGGAAGGGTAGCTATGAGTCAGATCTGACTCAATGGCAGTGAGTTTGGTCTTTTTGGTTAGGGGTTAGGTTTGGTTAGGGGTTGAGGACAAGGTCTACGTGACCAGGACTGGAAGGCTACATGACCTGTTTCCAGTTTTAGTGGTGCCCAGGCCACTTGGGAGGTGGGGCAGCTTCTCGAACCACCTGTATTTGCCTTGATAAAGCACTGCCAGGTTAGGGCTTTACTTGCCCAGGACTAGCTAAAGAACAGGTTAATCCCAAACTGGGAGGAGGTGATTGAAACGTGACAAGAAGGAAGAGGGACATGGCTAGCAGTGTCTTACAAGCACAGCTAAACAAGATGGGAGTTGAGACCATTTTTGAGATGTTGCAATCAACTCAAATTTGCATTGCATTTTGTAATTTTGTATGAATTTCTCATAAATATTTAAATAAATATTCTTTTTTGGGGTGGCTGTGAAACTAGTTTTTTAAAAATGCTACAGTTTCCCTTACATAGTTTTAAAGATATGACTAATTAACACCTTTTTTAGTGAGGTCTTTCTTAGGAAAACATAGAAACTCTTCTTAGATTGGCTAGATCTGTCACCCTGACATCAAACAGACTTCTCTTTCAATATGGGTGTATATGTTTTCTTTCCATGTTATTAAACATATCAGTGCCTTAAAGATTGTGTTGTATACCACATTGTATTTCCTCCACGCTGTAAGGAAATACATTTTCTTTGTTCTTCATTTGCACTAATGTATTGCTGCCTATATTAACTATACTTAAAGAAAACAATGCAAGTGTTCTCAGGTTGGTTTCTCCCCACTGTGTACTTGAGATGAGGAACTCACTTTCTGATGAACAGTACAATACCTTTAATTGGAAAGAAGAGGAAATCACCAGTGACATTTCTAATACCTTCAGTTGTCTGCTTCCTTCCTCAGGCCCAGCTTATAATAAATCAATTGTGAATCTAACCATGGATAGGGAGGGGTGACTAGATTTGCTAATGGGCCCCTTAAAAAAAAGACAGGTGTATTTCACACTAACTGTCACTGATTTGGAAGTGTTAACCTGATTTATTGGAGGAGATGAAAATGTTTGAGGCTATCCTTTATCCTTTACCAAATAATCAAATATTTCCAATTTAATTGCTGGGGGATTGGGTCATTGGCATCTTTCTGGTATTTTGCAAGCTTTGCCTGAGGTGGAAGTAGTATGGATTATAGAATGTGGATTTTAAGGGCTTAATTCTGTTCCATAGAACAGAACATGAATGTTTCTTTAGAGACAACATTTCTAGCACATGCTCTGGAGCTCACGTACTCTCTCTTTCTCTTCAATTTGGAGTCAGGGCACCTTGAAATCTGCCTATAGTTTTTACAGGGAGACAAAAATGAAACTGAGCTCACTGCTGTGAGTGAATGCTAACTCTTAGCAACCTTATAGGCCAGAGTAGAACTGCCTCATAGGGTTTCCAAGGCTATAAATCTTTACAGTAGCAGTCCGCTACATTCTTCTGCAGAACGGCTTGTGGTTGGAACTGATGACCTTTTGGTTAGCAGCCAAGCGTTTTAACCACTGTACCATGAGGTCTCTTAAAGTGAGAGAGGTTCAGAAAATCAGGCTCTATAGTTACACTCATTAGCATCAATTAATTCAGACTCATAGCTACCCTATAAGACAGAGTAGAAGTGCCCCCTAGAGTTTTCAAGACTGTTATCTTTACAGAAGTAGACTGCCTCATCTGTCTCTTGTGGAGCAGCTGGTGGGTTTGAACCACCAGCTGCTTATTTAAGATGTTAGAGATAGTATAAAACTTTATAGGCTCTAGTAGCATTTAAAAGGAGCTCTGGTGGTGCAGTGGTTCAAGCATTCAGCTCCTAACTAAAAGGTGGGTGGTTTGAACTCACCAGCTGCTTAGAGGAGAAAGATGAGTCAGTCTGCTCCCATGAAGATTTAAAATTAGCCTTGGAAACCCAGTGGGGCAGTTCTACTCTGTCCTATAGGGTTGGTATGATGCAGAATTAACTCTAAAGTACTGAAGTTTAGCAGCATTGGAAAGGAGTCCCAGTGGTGCAGTGGTTAAGTGTTTGGCTGCTAACTGAAAGGTCAGCAGTTTTAAGGGGAAAAGATGTAGCATTCTGCTTCTGTAAAGGTAACAGCCTTGGAAAGCCTATGGAGCAGTTCTACCCTGCCTATAGGGTTCCTGTGGCTTGGAATCTACCCAGTAGTGACAGGTTTGGTTTGGTAGTAGCATTTGATATTGTGACCCAATTCATAAAATTCTCCACACCGTTTTGACTTGAAATGGACAACATTGAAGTAAAATGAGCATTAAATATACTGCAACTCTATCCACTGCAATCTCCCCCTCTACACACACACACATACACACACACACACTTTTAAAGAAATGATCTCCATTTTCAGGTAGAGTTTGTGAACTACAAAAACATCTTGTGTGTGTGTGTGTGTGTGTGACAGAAAATTAATCTTCAGTTCATTTAGCAGAACAACTTCTTTTTATTTTTATT